AGTTTCAGTTCTGCCTGCAACTCATGTTCATCCCTAATTTTTTATATTGGGGAATGCTTTGGGCTTGTTGTTTGACCACACAAGAATTGGGCCTTGCCCTTTGGAGATGTCAACCTCAATTATCCCCTAGCCTCTCTTTATACATTATTATCAGTAATTTATAAAAAAAAAAAAAAGGGTGAAAATATTCCTATCTAATTCAATATTACTAGTTCTCCGTACACACCAATCTTTATTAAAGCCGATCTCTAATCTCTCTCTCTCACTCTCTCTCTTTCTCTCTCGCTACTGCAATTCTCAATCACACTCATAATTCTTGGTTGCGATTCCCGTATGTAACAATATTCTTTTACATATGAAGAAATTTGTCCATTGGCTGGTGATATAAAATTTTTTTTTGTTAATTTTTTTTTTTTTTTTTTATTCTGTCTGTAGTTTGAAGTCTATCAAACAGAGCCATTTAAGTTTCAATTAGCAAAGTTGGAAATTCTGAAAGACCAACACGTGGATTCAGAGATAGTAGATTGATAATAACTAAAAGGGAGAATAAGATCACAAGTGTGAGATCAAAGTCACAGAGCTGCAATTCCCGTCCACAATAAAAATGAAAATCTAATTATGGTTTTTGGAATCTGGAAGTTCAAATGCTATAAAACTTTTTCTAATATCACAGAGTGTTAAAAATGGTAAGAAAATATTCTTCAATGTTTTCGTAAAAGCGTAAATTTTTAATGTTTGTAGAGTTAGTTTTCTTTTATCTTTTGTTTTTCAATAGATGAAACGATAACATTTAAACATAATTTTATATGTCAATAGAAGGTGTATGTGTGGGCCTGGTATTTGATGGGTTGGCTTCTGAACTGATTCGGCCCAAAAAGAAAAATTAGCCCATCCATTAATGTGCTGCCACGTATTGTTGAAGCTCTGAAATTATATTAGTCAAAATGTCAAAATGTTGGGCTCATTCGATACCCATTAGTTTTGTACGTTTACCGTTTATGTACAGTTGAATCTCTGAAATTAGAATAGTCAAAATATGGAGTTCCACCGTCCACGATCTACCCACTGATGAATGATGAGATACTTTTGGGTCCTATTAAAGCACAGTTCAGTGATTCACAGTACACTAATCACTTCATTCAGATCTTGTTCCAAAATCAAGTAGGTCAAGATTAGAATTTAAAAGAAATGAATTTGGGTCAGAGAAACGATGAGGTTAGAGGGTTGGAAAACCTGAAGCACCAAAGCTCAAATTCAGAGTTAGTAGAGTCACAGTAGGTATAAGGGAGGATAAGAAGAGAGTGAGATCAAAGCTCCAAAGCCGCCTGTGTCCTCTTCATCACAATTTCCCAAGGTTTGGCGTCTTACTCTCTCATGGAGGATTGCAATTTTATTTTATAATTATTACCTTCTTTCGTAGTTGTATTTTTAACTAATCACAGGGAATATTAGTTCTCGGAAGTCGGAAATCTCAACTTCCTTTCTTTAATTAATTAGTGCCCTCGCTCGCATTATATTTTATTTAAAATTTAAAAACTTAACCAGTCTGTTTTAATTTGACAGTTTTCCAGGTGAGCAACCATCAGTTTCCTCAAGCGGGTTCATATGATATTCTTGTTCTTAACCAATGATGCTTAGGCTGCTCCAAGTAGAATATCAGAGCAAAAATATATCTCCATTTGATATAGTAACAACTTATATTTATTGTGTCAGACTTGCTACTAATTTGGAATTACGAAATCATTCTACAACTTATTCTAAAATCATTAGCCATGTTATTCTCAGCTTAGGTGCTCTTGCTTCAGTTACACTAGCATCAGTTTTGTTCCCGTTGGATGACTTATTTATGCTTATGGATTATTTTGCCTATTGCGCTAGCTACATACTTACTAAAACATATTTATGAATGGGTCAAATACGGAATATACAATACCATATTTATGAGTTGTGTTAGATTTAACAAATTCTGTGAACATCTCACATTGAAGAAGCAAGATTTGCCCATTTGAGCTATTTGTAACAGAAAAGTCATCAACAAGCTCTCTCCCATTAATTGTGTTATCTTTATTTTGAATTTAGTTTAGGAAAGTTGATTCTTGCATTGAACCTTGTATTGTACTCTTGTATGTATATATTTGATTATTGAATAAAAAAGTTTATCCTGTTTTCCTTATTGAGTCTTGCTCTAATCTTACTAGAATCTTCCTTGAAGTATTGTTGTATTGTCTCCTCTTATTATTAGATAAGTATATTTTTCTTGTGGCAATACCACTTGTAACCATATAGGAAATATGTCCTCTTAACTTTTGCAACATGTCAAATGGCTTTAATAATTGAATTACTTTGAAAAAAAACAATTGTCATAGAAAGAATAACTATTGACATAATTTTGTAAATAGAAAGACTAATCCTTTTCCTAATTAACTCTAAACAACAATATGATATTTTAGGAAGATTTGTAACTAAAAATAACCGGGATATCAATAATTTTAAGTTATAACAATAAAAATTCCAAAAAGTTGAAAGCTAAAATTGAATAAAACAATTTTATTAGTGCATGATGATTGACGTAAACACAATTTATGTTAGATTTTCACATTAAAAGTAGCAATTATATCACGCATTGAAATAGAAACCTTGGTTTCAAACTCTTCTTCAAGATTGTATTTTTGTAATTTCCAACTAACTATTAGCGATCAGTCACGCCTATCAAAGGGCTAGAAACCAAAACATAAATGAATATACTGAATGTTGAGCAATCACTTACCTCCTCAAAATATTCCTCATCAAATGATTCGATTCTTTTTCTCAAATCAGATTGTTTTGAGAGACAATAAGAGAAATGAGAAAATGAAGAGAATGGATTTTTTATATTGGGGAGTTGCTTTGGGCCTGTTGTTTGGACCATATGGGCCTTTACCTTCGGAGAAGTAAGCCCGCTTCCTTGCAAAAAAAATGGAAGTTCAGTCGGTCTCGGATGTCCCAACTCTTTAATAATTTACAGCCCATTTACAATTCCCACTCTATTACTAATTACTTTACTTCTGGTTATCTTCATTTTCTAATTTTAATGTTATGCGCTTCCTTAATAATGCCTTCTGCTAAACTTTGAATAATTTTAGGCCAAACGATTTGCGCATACCCAAGGTTTATCGAAACAATAAGTTGGTACCCAAAAGATTTTAAAACGACAAACAGGTACCTTCCGTCATGTGTTGTTAGTGATTTCTGTTTGTTAACAGTGAAAAGACTAAAATGCCCTTGAAGTTTGATATTTTAGTTTTTTAAAAATTTCTAAAAAACCCCCTAGGTTTGCTAATTTAATAAACACCCCCATATATAAAAAGTTTGTTAAATGACAAAAACAGCCCCACCACTTGCGGCTAGATTCCGACCATCACCGCTGGAATCTGGCCGAAAATTGCGTTACGACATAGACCCCGTCGGATCTGTGTCGTAACGCGTCGATCTGACCTTTTCCGGCCAGATCCGTGGCTGATCTTGCCGGAAAAGGCCAGATCTGGCCGTCGAGGCAGCAGATGGAGTTTTACGGTGATCTGGCAGAAAAAGGCCAGATCTACGGCTAGATCTGGCCTTCGTGGCCGCAAACTCCATCTGCAGCGTCGACGGCCAGATCGGCGCGTTACGACACAGATCAGACGGGGTCTATGTCATAATGCAATTTCCGGCCAGATTCCGACGGTGGTGGCCGGAATCTAGCTGTAGGTGATGGGGGTGTTTTTATCATTTAACAAACTTTTTATATATGGGGGTGTTTAGTTAAATTAGCAAACCTAGGGGGTTTTTTAAAAATTTTTAAAAAAACTAAAATATCAAACTTCAAGGGTATTTTAGTCTTTTCACTGTTAACAAACAGAAATCACTAACAGCACATGATGGAAGGTACCTGTTTGTCGTTTCAAAACCTTTTGCGTACCAACTGGTCGTTTCGGCAAACCTTGGGTATGCGCAAGTCGTTTGGCCATAATTTTATTGTCTTTCCTTTCAATAATACTACATTTACACAAGTACTTACACCATTTTTTTTACTCCATGATGTGGCATCCTATGTGGCATATGCCACCTCAATTGCCACAACATCAAGATAGCACGTCACTTTCCTCCAAATTTTAAAAAAAAAAAATCTGCAAAAAACCAAAATTTTCACCTAAAATTTCAAACACTAATTTCTCTAAATCAGTTTCATATCTCCTGAAACAAAGAAACCCAAAAATTTCTCCAAAAAATCCTGTCAACTTTGAAAATCCAGCTCAATCTCTGCTCACAGCTTGTTCCCACGGAATCCAGCGGCCATCCAAAATCGATTTGGGGTGTTGGTTGTGTGGCTACTGCTTGGGGTGTGGATTTCGTGGCTGCTGCTTAGGGTGTGGGTTGTGTGGCTGCTGCTTGGGTGTGGATTTCGTGGCTGTTGCTTGTGGTGTCAATTTCAGGGCTGCTGCTTGGGGGGTGGGTTGTGTGGCTGCTGTCCTTGATCCCATAGAGTATGTGGGTTGTTTTATTTTAATCCTTCCCCCGTTTTAGGACCCAATAGGAGTATTTTGCTTGTATCATTTGTTGTTTAAATATATATATATACTATTATTTTGCTTATATCATTTTTTGGTTAAATATATACACATACTTTTGGAATCTAATGATTGTGTAATATTTGTAACATTCATGTAAGGGGAAGGATATATTATATTGCCTAATGTGATATATTTTCAGGCACAAATTTATCGTAGTTCGTTAGAAAGATGCAACTTAAGTTTTTACTTATTATGATTTAGACTTCTGTTGTCGGTTGTGATGAAGTTGCTTGTTTGACAATTTAGGAAGCTTTGGTTTGTGAATTGGGAATAAATTTGAACATTTGTGGGGTTGGCACCTAGTGTATTTCAAGTGATGGTCTACTGCCACTTTTTGTAATGAAAGATTTTTTTTATATGTAGACTTGTTAAATAAGCAAGCCCCCACAACCAATCCTAGTCAGTTTACACATGGAGGAGTGCAGCCAGAAAAAAGTAGATAATTATTCCCTAGAAATCAATGTGATTGAGGTATTCTTGTAATTGTTATCTGTTTGTTTTAAGCATTAATATGATCTTAATTCCTTTAATGGTATTATTTGCACCTTTTTTTTTTTCTGTTGGGGGGTGGAATGTTATATACTAATTCTTTGCAATTATAATTTGTGTATTGTAGGGTAATGATGCACAACAAATAGGGGATAGAAGTAGTGCGGAAGATGAAGGCAAGCCTAAGCCTGGAATGTTTTTTGAATCATTTGATAAGTTTCTTCAATACTACCAGAGCTATGGAAATAAAATGGGGTTTGAAGTTACAATAAGATCTTCAAGGAAAGGAGATGATGGGGAGTTGATTTATGTGAACGTTGCCTGTTGTTATGGTAGAAAGCGAGATAGTAATTCCAAAAATATTTTTAAATTGCATCCGTTGACAAAAAGTGGTTATAAGGCTCGTAGTACTGCCTCTCGACGTTTAGATGGTAAATGGGAAATAGTGTCAATCATCTATGAGCATAACCATGAACTCATAAGTCCTAGCAAAACAAGATTTTTCAAGAGCAATAGATTTATACAACCGCATGTGAAAAGAAAGATTGAAGTGAATGATAAAGCAGAGATTAGACAGAGTAAGAATTTCAATTCCTTTGTAGTTGAAGCTGGGGGTGTTGAGAATTTGAGCTTCTTACAACAGGATTATAGAAATTACATTGAAAAAGTTAGGAAGATCCGACTTGGTGATGGTGATGTTGTTGCGTTATAGAAATATTTTTTGAAAATGCAAAAAGATAATCCCAATTTCTTTTACGTTATGGATTTAGATGATAATGGTCGATTGCAAAATGTTCTATTGGTGGATACAAGAAGTAGGGCCGCATTTAGGGAATTCGGCGACGTTGTGACATTCGACACAATGTATTTAACCAACAAATATGATATGCCGTTTGCTGCGTTTGTCGGTGTTAACCATCATGGCCAATCCACATTATTAGGTTGTGGGTTAATCTCCCACGAGGACACAAAAACTTTTGTTTGGCTTTTTGAAGCGTGGCTTGCTTGTATGGGAAATTCTACTCCTAAGGCAATAATCACAGACCAGGACAGGGCTATGCAAAATGCCGTCGAGATTGTGTTTCCCGATACAAGACATAGATGGTGTTTGTGGCATATTATGAAGAAGTTGCCGGAAAAGTTAAAAGGTTATAGGGAATATGAACATATAAAGTTTACTTTGCAAAATGTTGTGTATGATTCGTTCACATGTGAGGAGTTTGAAGAATGGTGGAATTCGTTCATTGAAAAATACAACCTACACGACAATGATTGGTTATCTGGTTTGTATAATGAAAGATATCGTTGGGTGCCGGCATTTGTGAAAGGTACTTTCTAGGTGGGAATGTCAACTACGCAAAGTAGTGAAAGTATGCATGCCTTTTTCGATGGGTACGTAAATTCAAAAACGACATTAAAACAATTTGTAGAACAATATGAGAATGCATTGCGTGATAAAGTTGAAAAAGAAAATGAGGCTGATTTCAAATCGATCAAATCATCGATCCCTTGTATAAGCATTTATCCTATGGAGAAACAATTTCAAGAGGCATACACTACTGCAAAATTCAAAGAGTTTCAAAAAGAGCTTGCAGGTAAGCTCCATTGTGAGATATATTCTTTGAAGGATATGGAGTCCAAACTTGAATATGTTGTGAAGGAAGATGTAATGGTTGGAGAGACATACCGTCGGGTTTCGTTTGTGATTTGGTCTGAGAATCGTTGTTCTGAGATTCGTTGCAATTGTCGATTGTTTGAGTTTAAAGGGATTTTATGTCGACATGCAATTGCAGTGTTGATACATAATGAAATTTCTCTTATCCCTGAACAGTACATTTTAAAGCGTTGGAGGAAAAATGTATTCAGATGCCACACGAAAGTTAGGGTAAGTTATAATAGTTTGAGCACTAGTGCTGAAGGTGAACGATTTGACCAATTGTCTAATTCATTTAGTGAGGTGGCGGACTTGGCATCAACCAGTGTTGATGATTAATATGGTGATGCAAATGATAAGTGACATGAAGAAGAAATTATTGTTGAATGACAATGTTGGGGGGATTGATAGAAGCGTTTACGTTGCATGTAAAAGCAAAATTCACTTGGATAGTGTTGATTGCACTTCTGTACAAGTTAGCAATAAAATCATGACTCCACGAGCTGTTCGTTCTAAAGGTCGGCCTCCATTCAAAAGAAAGGAATCGAAGGTCGAGCAAATTGTTCGGAAAAGGAAGAAATTGCTTAACCAAGTGAGTGTAACTTCTTCATCATTAATGTCTACAACTCTTTTACTAAATGTTATGAATATGTTATGTTTTTATTTAATTGTAGGGTGGGAGTTCACAAGAATCAAATGAAGCTGATGTAAATGATATTAACTTCCACAATCATGATGCAGGAGTCTATGTTTTAAGTCAGGTAAGAATCCTTTATTTTATAAGATGTTTTTATTGTAACTAGAATCTTGTTTTAAGGTAAAAAATTAATGTTATTGTGTTTTCACTGGTCAGGGTTATAATGACATGTCAGTAAGTTTGAGGTCATCACTTGGAGATGTATCGCTTGGAGATGCAGAGTAGCCGATCGTTAGTAACAATGTGGAAAATTGCTTGCAAGCAATCACAATTTTTGACTTGTATATAGGAACAATATATTATAGGAGTAGGAAAATCCTTTTTGATATGCAGCGGGTCTTTTTTGATAGCTGCTTCATGTGTATAGTTGTGCAGACTATTTTTTTGCTTCGTCGCAAGGCCTGCCCTTTTTGCTGCTGGTTTGCTTGTTTTAGGCCTCTGCGAGACTAGCTCGTTGGTATATAGGATGGTAGATCCTTGTCTTTTTGCTGCCCAAGGAGCGTGTTTGGGAGGGGACTTAGGGGTTAGTATGGTTGGTGAGGTCGGTGGGGCTTGGGGTGTGTGTAATATGGGAGGTGTTCTGCTGTTTGGCCATTTGTTGGTGGCTTTTCTGGTTGCTTGTCTGGTTGTTTGGGCAGGTGGAGTTTGGGTTGTGGGTGATTGGGGCTAGGCACTTTGGGTGATTTTATGGTTTTGTTGTGAGGTGGTGTTTCTTTTTGGCTATGGATGGTTTGCTGGTCTTGGGTTTGGTTGTGCGGATATGGTGTTGTGCAGGTTGCTATTGTTGGGGGTTTTGCTGCTGCTCATGGGGTGCTTTTGTTGCTGCGACTGGGGCTGTTGCTGCTGGAGCATTTGTTTGCTACTACTAGGGTTTGTGTTGTTGTTCCTGGGTTGATCTGCTGCTGCTGTTGCAGCCTTTTTGCTGCTGCTGTTGTTGGAGCCTTTTTGCTGCTGCTGGTGTTCTTTTTTCTATTTTTGGGGCTGTCGTTGGTGGGGCTTTGTTTTATAGCTGCTGGGGCTTTTGCTACTGCTCTTGGGTTGTTTTTCACTGCTGCTGCTGGGGCTTTTTGTTACTGCTGTTGCTGGTGGTCTTTTAGGTGCTATTGCGGGTACTATTGTTGGGACTTTTTTTTGCTGCTGTTAGGGCCTGTTAACGGCTGTTGTGCTTAGGTGCCCCTGGCTGGTTTTTATTTTGCTCTTGGGGCTTGATTGGGTGTCTACAGGGTTGTGCATCCTGGTTTTCCCTTGTCTCTGATTGTTTGTTTCATCCCTCTCTTGTAAGTAAGGGCATGCAACTTAGTTTTTTTATTTTTATCTTGCGGGATATTTTTTAATCTCTGTATAAAATTATAAGTTACCTAAAAAAAAAAAAAAGGTTATATACTAATTGACCAAAACTGTCTGTTTTTGGTCCTTTTAGGTGAAAGACAACATTGATCTACATTACCATCCATGCATAATAATATGTGCATTTATATAGATAATAACGATGTGAAATTTATACATTATCATAAAGCCTCAATTTCGTTCATTACAAGCAATCTGGGAATAAATTATAACTGAATCATTAAAATTAGGGTAATCTCCCCTAAAGAGTGAAACTTGTGATAAAATACAAGGGACCAAACTACACAAAAAGAAACAAAACCAAGCAAGGATATACAAAAGCAACACAAACACAAGACAACCAAACTGAAGACTCCAGCCAGAAACTGCAGAAAATGCAGCAATCATGCTGCAGCTCCATACAAACCACTGTCCAGATCACTACTTCAATTCTAGCACACACCACCCTGCACATACTGCCCAAGACTCTTGTAAACTGCAGAAACAAACTGCAACCTCTCACACCTGCTCAATCTGCACAATGCAAAAACTACAACTTGCCCATGCTTCATTTCCAGCTCCTACCAATCTGCACCTATTGCACAAAAATTATGGACTTTGCATAAAATGCAGTAATCTAAAGCAACAATGCATACACTAACAGATTAATAGAAACTATTTTCTTTGGCAAAATTGATGAAGAACATTCCCAAATGATACCATTCCCAAGCAGTCAGTATATCCACAAAAATATCAGGCCATCATGGTTGTCTCTAAGCTTCTTGTGGCTATCTCTTATGCTTCGTGGGCTACAAACAAAGAAAAACTTATGAAGAGAAAAACAAGAATTGATTTTTCATTAACCAAATAAAACTGATACAGAGGTAGGCCTTTATAAGACCAATTAACTCTCATTTACATTTTTATTCTAACATTCCTCCTCAAACTAAACATCTTCTAACTTTTCCAGTTTTCAGTAATGCAACATCTTAAAACAAAAAAATCTATTCTGCATTAGCTTAACTTCTTTGCAGCAACATTCTCTGCATTAGCTAAATCTTCTCTGCAGCAACATCCTTTAATAACCAAAAATGACTTCAGCAATCTCTGTCCAACCGAAGTTCAATATGACCATGGGTTCTCCAACCATTAGACCATGTATAGGGAGCTCCAATCGTGTGAAGATGAATCAGGTTCAAAAATCAGACATTTGTTTGAAAGCACTGCAAGTGAGTTGAAGAGAACAGAATTAAAGTCCCATATAACCACAACACAACTTCAAAATTGGATTTTCAGCAACCAAAACTGACCTTCAATAACCACATTGCCATTCAGACTTGTTTGCAGAAATAATTTTGTATATCATTTAAAGAAACCATAACACAAATCTAAATTAAATAAAGAAATCAACATGCAAACATACATGCATTGACCGAAACTTCATCCTATTAGCCAGCTATGAGCTAAATTAGAAGCAAGAGTAAAATAATCAAAACTAGCGAAAACAACGACCAACAAAGCTTCCAGTATATCAAGCCAAACACTAACAAAATGAGAGTGCATTACACATGATTAATCATAAACATGCATATTTTATTTAGGAGAAAATATAGAAAAGCAAACTCAAATTACCATAAATGCTATAAAGTCTCCGGCTCTGAATTGAGAGTGTGATTTTGAAGCAGTGAGCTCTGATTTGCGACGGCAGCTTGTTCTGAAGACCTTCTCGTTTATACTTCTTTCACTCTCTTTATGGACTAGGCACCGTCTTATACTAATTCCAAGCACCAAGTTTTTGCTGCTTGAATCACAATAACAATTGATAATGAGGTTCCCCCAGTTCTAATGTTTTCCAGAGAAAGTTCATTACTATTTAAATAAATTTTGACTTCATATTTATTTCTTTTGTTTCGATTTTTTGGTCTGATACACCTGTGAGCTCTTAATGCCATTTGTTATGCCTGGGAAAATAAGGGCTGAAGTGGGGAAGTCACGTGAATAGTGACCTGCTCCCGTCAGAGCAACAAGCACACGTCAGGCCTGCCAAATGATATGGAGCTCACACGTGTCCCTTTCCCCTGCAATAAATCATGCGAAATCAGCTTGGGAAGAGAGCAATGGGACATAAAGCCGGATTATATCTTGACAATCGCACCAACCCATGGATTTAATGATGATTACACGCTTCAGCTTAATATAAAATGAATAAGACCCTTCATTAAGGGGATTCGGCCATTTTTACATTGAGAAACTCTCTCTCTCTCCTGTAAACACATTTACTTTTCATAACTCTTCTGTAAGTCAGTCCGCAGTGGCGACCTGACCCATACTAATATCAATACAAATCAGTGGACGTAGGACTTGTTACCTTAGCATCCGAACCACTTTAAAAACTCTCTTTGCATTTATTTCACTTTCTATATTCATTATCACGTGTGTTTATTGGCCAATCAGCGTTGCGCACGTGACAATTCGTTGGTGCCAAAATCCAGCATCAACAGTTTGGCTCTAGAAGGAGGGCCTGATTTAGTGTCTACCCTTCATCAGGAGAATCTTTGACCTACTGGTCTTACAACAACAAATGGCCCGCCAATCTGAGCCTGAGCAGGTCAACCAGCGTGCTGAAGGAGTCCCCCTAGCCCAGAGGGACACCCCTTCCAACATACCTCCAGTTTCGCAAAATGCTGCTGGGAATATCTGGAGCTCCGCAACTGGACCCTGCCATCAGAAGCTACCTGAAGAGGTACGACAATACTCTCCAGACGGTCAACCAGAGGCTGGACCGTTTGGATCAAGGCATGTCATCTACGACAGCCGGAGCGGTACAACCGCCAAAGAGCCTGCAGGTCGTCGAAAGCACGGTAAAGGGCGATAGCCCGTGCCGTGAGCATTGCAGCGCGTAGGCGCAAGGGTAAGCAAGTGGCAAAAAGTAAGCCTAGGGCTCCAAGGGCCAGCGAATACAAAAGGCGCCCCGAGCAGGGTGGTCGGCAAAGTGAGACTTGGTGAAAAAGTGAATCCCGAGCTGTCCCATGTCATGTCGCAGGCAAACCCAAGCGCAATGCTAGGCGCGGTGATTTTTATCACCACCAGCAGAACGATCGTTCCCGATCGTATGCGGGTAGCTCCCACACTCGTGGGGGGTTCGTACCACCGCAAGAGTCGTGAAAATGCCCCGCACAACCCATCGCCTCACACGCCTCTAGTCAGCGTGTGTCAAGTGCGGTCGAAAATACCGGCCGAGGCAAGGGGAATCCGACCTCCGGACTTTCCTGAATCGCAACCGAGAAGGCCGGGCTCGTACGGGTGAAAGCAACCC